ATTACAACAACTCCTTAATTAAAGCTTACAACTCTGGTGTGCAAGAGGGTTTGGCATCTGGGTTCGGAATGGGTTCGGTTATGCTGATTATGATGTGTAGTTATGCTCTGGCTATATGGTTTGGAGGAAAGATGATACTAGAAAAAGGATATACAGGAGGGGAAGTCATTAATGTAGTTTTCACTGTGTTGACTGGCTCCATGTAAGTTTCATTTCAGTAAAATTTAATGAACAAATTTGTTGATCCTAGTACTATTGTACTAGTTAACATGTTTGCATTTTTGCGTGATCTACTGACTACTCCTCCTCCCCCCTTCAGTCCAAAATTTGATATGTGATTATTCAGAAGATCAAGATATAACTTTCTGCTTCTATGATAAATTTTCAGGTCCCTAGGGCAGGCATCTCCATGCTTGAGTGCAGTTGCTGCTGGACAAGCTGCAGCTTATAAGATGTTTGAGACAATTGACAGAAAGCCAGAGATTGATGCTTCTGACACTAATGGGCAACGATTACATGATATCCGTGGAGACATAGAACTGAGAGATGTTTATTTTAGTTATCCTGCAAGACCAGATGAACAAATATTCGATGGATTTTCTCTCTCAATACCTAGTGGTGCAACTGCTGCTTTGGTTGGAGAGAGTGGAAGTGGTAAATCAACTGTAATCAGTTTGATTGAGAGATTTTATGACCCCCTAGCTGGCGAAGTTCTTATTGATGGTATTAATCTCAAAGAGTTCCAGCTGAAATGGATCAGACAGAAAATAGGCCTTGTCAGCCAGGAACCCGTTTTATTTACTTGTAGCATTAAAGATAATATTGCCTATGGGAAGGATGGTGCAACCACTGAAGAAATAAGGGCTGCTGCTGAGCTTGCCAATGCTGCTAAATTCATAGACAAACTGCCTCAGGTTAAATTCATTTAAACTTTCATCTAAGTTCTGGTATTTTGATCTCTGAACTTTTTGTGTGAATTCTTAATTTCCACGACCATGGAAGCTTATTGAGACATCCAATGATCTTATCATTTTGTTACATTGAAAGATGGAAATATAGAGAGATCACATGAATTTTCTAAAAACTCGGATTATTTCGATCAACTCATTCAATTCCTTTTTTCATTTGTGGTTTTATGATTTATGCATTTAGGGACTAGACACAATGGTTGGTGAGCATGGAACTCAGCTATCTGGGGGCCAAAAGCAGAGAGTTGCAATAGCTAGAGCAATTCTCAAAGACCCAAGGATTCTACTTTTAGATGAAGCCACGAGTGCTCTTGATGCAGAATCTGAGAGCATTGTGCAGGAGGCACTGGACAGAATTATGATCAACCGGACTACTGTTGTTGTAGCCCACCGCTTGAGCACCGTAAGGAATGCTGACACCATTGCTGTTATACATCGAGGAACAATTGTTGAAAAAGGTAATGCATTTGTTTATGTTGTCCTGTTGTACCATTTGAAGGACAAATCGTATTGTCTATAGTTCAACATAATGTTACAATTCATCTTATTCATAGTCCATGGGTATTGCACATACTGAACGTTGTCAACTGAGCAGGTCCACATTCTGAGCTAATTAAGGACCCTGAAGGAGCATATAGCCAGCTTATAAGGTTGCAAGAAATGAGCAGCGTGTCAGAACAGACTGCTGTAAATGATCACGAAAGGCTTAGCAGCATGGATTCTCGAAGACATTCAAGTAAAAGATTTTCAAACTTACGATCCATAAGCCGGGGATCATCTGGAAGAGGAAATAGTAACCATCATTCCTTCTCAATCTCATACGGTGTGCCAATTGCAGTCGATGCTCTTGAAACAGCATCTGCAGGACGTGATATTCCTGGCTCAGCATCATCAAGAGTGCCTGCAGAAGTCTCACTTCGCCGCCTGGCTTACCTGAACAAGCCAGAGATCCCAGTATTATTACTAGGTACTATAGCTGCAGCAGTCAATGGGGTAGTCTTACCTATTTTTGCGATATTGATATCCAGTGTAATCAAGACCTTCTACGAGCCACCTCCTCAACTCCGTAAGGATTCGAAGTTTTGGGCATTAATCTTCATTGTTCTTGGAGTGGTAACTTTCATAGCAATCCCAGCAAAATACTTTTTTGCTGTGGCAGGGTGTAATTTAATAAAACGAGTTCGATCAATGTGCTATGAGAAGGTGGTTTACATGGAAGTAAGTTGGTTGGACGATCCTGAGCACTCAAGTGGTGCAATTGGTGCCAGGCTTTCTGCAGATGCAGCTTCTCTGCGTGGGGTGGTTGGAGATGCTCTAGGGTTGCTGGTTGAGAATTCAGCAACTGCAATTGCTGGTTTGTGTATTGCTTTTGTGGCAAATTGGCAACTTGCTCTTATAATCCTGGTTTTGATGCCTCTATTAGGATTAACTGGTTATGCTCAAGTCAAGTTCTTGAAAGGATTCAGTGCAGATGCAAAGGTATTTCTCCAAAGTCCAAACTTTACAAATAAAGTTTATAGTATAGAACTTGTAGCTGGTGCAGTCAAAACACCATCCAATACGACATACATAATATATATAAGACCAATCCTTTTTGTCAATGCTGAAAATTTAAAATTGTTGCAGAAAATGTACGAGGACGCAAGTCAAGTAGCCAATGATGCAGTGGGGAGTATTCGAACAATTGCTTCCTTTTGTGCTGAAGAGAAGGTGATTGAATTGTACCAGAAGAAATGTGAAGGTCCTATTAAGACAGGGATAAGACGAGGGTTAATCAGCGGGATAGGTTTTGGGCTATCGTTCTTTTTTCTTTTTTCTGTGTATGCCTGCAGTTTTTATGCTGGAGCCCGACTTGTTGCAGCAGGCAAGACAACATTCTCTGATGTTTTCCGGGTAAGTTTTTATGCCTTGCGCTACAAGTCTTCAAGTAAGTAAATAGATTAGAAAACATTAGCAGAGGATCCGAACTCTGCTAAATACGTTTTACTTGAGAATTAAATCTTCATTAGTCCATTCAGTCGATTGTTAACATTTCCCAGGTTTACAGGTTTTCTTTGCTCTCGCGATGACAGCTGTTGGAGTGTCTCATTCAGGTTCCCTAGCCCCTAATCTTGGTAAAGTAAAGAGCTCTGCTGCTTCCATATTTGCCATTCTTGACCGGAAATCGAAAATAGACTCTAGTGATGAATCTGGAACAACTATAGAAAATGTGAAGGGAGAAATTGAACTTCGCCGTGTCAGTTTCAAGTATCCAACTAGACCTGATGTACCAATCTTCCAGGATCTTTGCTTGACTATTCATCATGGCAAGGTAACTTGGTAAAGTTTTGTTCTTTTACTCATTTGGTCCTCGTCGTCTAATTCAAGTTTCTGGGACTTACAAATTTGAATTATGTTATTCAGACAGTCGCTTTGGTTGGAGAAAGTGGAAGTGGGAAATCGACAGTCGTCTCATTGTTGCAGAGATTTTATGACCCTGATTCAGGTCACATTACATTAGATGGATTTGAAATCCAAAAGCTACAGCTCAAGTGGTTGAGACAGCAAATGGGACTGGTGAGCCAGGAGCCTGTATTGTTTAATGACACTATCAGAGCCAACATTGCATATGGAAAGGAAGGGAATGCACCAGAGGCTGAAATTATAGCTGCTGCAGAATTGGCAAATGCTCACAAGTTCATCAGTAGTTTACAACAGGTAGGCACTACAAAATTAACAAGCTTGTCAGTTTCTTTGGCCACAATAATCTATTGCCATGGTGCTGCATAAATGAGAAGGTCTAGTTGATGAAAATTCACAGAATTTTATTCAGAACGTTGAAGATTAACCATGTTATGTTTGGAAAAACAATGCAGGGTTATGATACAATAGTAGGAGAGCGGGGTATTCAATTGTCTGGTGGACAGAAGCAAAGGGTGGCAATTGCACGAGCTATAATGAAGGCACCAAAGATACTACTACTAGATGAAGCCACAAGTGCTCTTGATGCTGAATCGGAACGAGTGGTTCAAGATGCATTGGACCGAATCATGGTGGATCGAACGACAATCGTGGTTGCCCATCGGTTATCCACAATAAAGAGTGCGGATGTAATCGCAGTGGTGAAAAATGGAGTCATTGCAGAGAAAGGAAAGCATGAAACTTTGATCGGTGTCAAGGATGGCATTTATGCTTCTTTGGTAGCATTGCATGCAAGTGCCTCATCTTAGATAGCTTTTATATTCCTTTTATCCAAAGAAAAAGAAAGTATGTAATCTAATTTTATTCAGAGAGGTAAATTACCAATAGGAATAGATCTTTTTTTAATTATCCTTTGTTCTTGTAAGCTCCACTTGAAGGGCTCATTCAATTTCATGTGTTTTACATCTTTAAATATTGAAGGAAATGTGGATAAGGAAATGTCATCCAGTTCCTTCTTCCCCAATTCCTTCTTCCCAATCCAACTTCAATTTGAATTCGAATTCAAATTCAGTCTTCAGATAGATTTTAATTCAATTCATCCATGGCGGGCCGAATCAAACAATTAGATAGTCTCTTCGTGCCATGTTGGAAGAACCTGTGCGCCACATACACAAAGTTATAATACCAGAGTAATAAATCTGAAAATAGGAAAACTTTAATAGGAAGTTCTTATTGCTAATGTTTTAAGTTTAACAGCACAATGAATGCGTGTGCTTTGCATAGCCCTCTTTACAAAACAATATCGATCAGCCTTCACTAAGTTGCCTTTCTCTTTGTCTACGATAAGGCCTCTAATAACGGTAGGAAGGAAATGCTTTGTTAGAAATTCCCAAAACAAAGTTTCTGTGTATGGTTTCTAGATGTATTTTTATTAGAAAAGAAATGCTTTATACATGCAAAACATTCCAAGTGCGTCCTGACTGTGAGAGGCTGGTTACTGACTAGTATCACAAGTTGATTAGCCTCTCACAGCTTGCATGCGCATATATGTTTCCCTATAATCGACACTTTGAATTCTAGTATAATCGGCACTTTGAATTCTAGCAACGTAGGGGTAAAATATATACCATGTCACGGGTTCAGTTCGAAATCTCAAATCCTCATTCTCTACTCATTTGGTAATTTACACGTTAGTTTTTCAACGTAAAGGATTGCGCAGGAAGATGATTTTTCAATGAGTGGACTAGTTATATTTATTAGCTAAAAATTTAATGATCATTGTTTTTGTAGAAATAAAAGTATACATTAAATCATTAAACCATGCTCGTTCATAGCTCAATTAACTAATTTTCAATAATTTTAAAAAAAAATTATTTGGATACAAGTGACATTGGGGGAGGGAAAATCGAACCTTAGACAAGGGTAAATGGTCTTAACTATTTGAGTTACAAACCCCTTGTGATTTCGAATAAGCTTTAAGACACAAATACATATTAAATACATATTAATTTGTAACCAAAATTATCAAAATGAAAATATGTTCAACAACAGAATTGAAAGTGTATATATTTTAATGTGTATTTTTATTGTTGCTATGCAACTAAATTCATAAAGAATTGGATTTGTTTTGGACTTTAAGAAGTTAACAGATATGGAAAATATGTAAGTTTAATACTTTTTTAACCCGAAAACCTCACTGAGCTATAACTCACTGTAGCCCTTGTGCTAGTTCCGCCCAGGTTTGCTTGACATCTATTTCTGAATATATAATATTAATTCACTGTAACATATTAGACTAATTAAACTATTATTAGTCATAAGCATCCTTAACAATATTATAATCACCTTGTCATCATTTTCTCTGTTTCTACTTTCTACCAAATACAAGATCATCTCATCTCCCCAGAAAATGATAAGTAAAAAAAAAACTATAAAAAAAAAAAACACCAATATCCCAACAAACTTCCAAGAAGTTCAAAGATTAACACAACAAAAACAAAAAAAGAATGGCAATCGAGAGGATTGACTTGTCATGTCTCATGTCAGATTTGTGCCATCCCTTTATTAAACACACATGCATGTACTGATAAGCATGCCCAACACTCCAAGTTACACATAATATAATAAAAATATAGTCTACCTCCAAAAGTCATATCGGAAAATTCTAGAGTGCGCTTGGTATACGGATGCGCTACTTATTATGATCAATGTCTAAAATATCGATGGTATCGAAAATATCGGTAGTTCAAGAACACAGAAATTTCGGGATATTATTGATATCGATAAAAATGAAATAAAAATCACGGAAATTGTAAGAAAACTTTAGAAATTTTTATTGAAACTTTAGAGTATGTTTATGTTTATTTAGTCAATTATCTATTAGTTTATCATAAAAAATTAGAATGAAATAAATTGCATGATAGGTTTAACTGATTTAAGTTGATTATATAGCGAGTTGACAAATATTTTGAGTGTAAAAAATATGTAGTAACTAATAAAAGAAGATTAAACACACCATAGTTATTTATATATATGATTTACTACAATATTTTACACTTTATATATTGCATGGTAAGATACATGAGTGACTTAATACCACATAGAGTTCCTATGAGGTTCAAATTTTTCACTATCTTCATCATCTCTATGTGTAAAGTAAGTGTATTGTGAAGAGTAGCCATCAAATGATAAATTCCCAAAATAGTTTTGCATGTACTTATTAACATGCTACCCATATGGATCCGAGATTGGTTGATGTTGTCTATAAGCAAAATCATTTGAAGATTGGGTCTCAGATTCTTTTCATGAGCCGCTCGATTCCATCCCAAAAGGAAAGGTCAAAGAGTCACATTCTCATGTGAAAATTTGATTCTTGCAAGGAAACAAAACAATATAAATATACATATTTTAGCATATTATCACAAAAATATAAGCAACATGGTGGTTAAGGCGTTGGAGGAGTGAAATGGCAGGGGTTTGAATCCCCTTTGCATGTGTGCTTTGTGTTTTTTTTCCTTTTTTCCATTACACAGATATTTTCGATATTATGGAAACATTATAGCGATATTTTGACAAAATATTGCTGAAGTGTGAGCGAAATTATCGACATCAATATTTTTCGATATTATCGATATTTATACGATATGTGTATGGATACGTTCCGAAATATCCGTGACTCGAAAAAACGATAATATCCTCGATATGTTGTTGATATTATTGATATTTTAGACTATGATTATGATCATTGGATGAGTAGTTGGGGCATGTGAAGTAATACACACTGTTGATTGTTAGTTACCGGTTAACTTGTTACTGTAGGTAAAACAAAAACAATTGCTCTCTCCTTTAGTCAAAGACATTTCACAACCGCTACTCTCATTTTTTTTTCCTCCGAGTTCAATTCCTTCCACAGCTGCTCCTTTCCTCCTTCTGTGACAACGAGACAGTGCCAACGACCACATCTCCTCTCTTCTCAGGAATCAGTCTGCTTATTCTCATTCTTCTATCTCCTTACATCTCTTTTTGAACAGAGCCGCTCCCCCTCCTCTTTTCTCAGTCTTTGTTTGATTTTGATTCCTTCCACATGCGCTCCTCCTTCTATGACGATGTCGACGAGACAACGTTGGAGGCGTCATATCGTTTCCTCAATTCCTCTCTCATATCAGTTTAAGCTAAGCATCCTCTTTGATAATAGCTGAAAAGTGCATAGTTTATGTCCCTAAAATATACCCTTAGGGCTTATTTATTTACCAATTTATTCATTTTGATCTACTATATTTTTAATTTGTCAAATAAAGTGATGCAGCGGAACAAGAACAAAATATATAATTTTAATTCCGTTGATTCTAAGAATGCCCGGAACTAAACTCTAATATGTTAATTCTGAGAATACCCAGGAAAAGAGTAAAGAGATGAGAGAAAAATCTCAATCTTCATTCAATAACAAACATCAATACCTTTCTTACAATTTCATGCATTATTTATAGATGTCTCTCAATCAAGATGAGATAACTCCTCATAACTCACAAAGATGAAAAGACTCTTCATAACTTTATTCATGAACCTACATAACTCCCACATACGAAGAGACACTTATTTGAGACACTTATTTGATATAGGTTATTAAGACTTTCCTCATACACGAACGTGATCCCAATGGTCCATGTATGTATTTGCTAAACTCACTGCATCATCCTCTCTGGGTTGACAAAAATTCGCCCTCGAATTTGGATCATCATCGGAGTTGGAGCCATGGAAAGGAACAAGATATTTCACATTGAACACATCAGACGTGCGAATATGGCTGGGAAGCTTTAATCTATAAGCATTCGGATTAATCTTCTCAAGAATTTCCACAGGTCCAATTTTGCGAGCAGCCAATTTGTTATATTCACCAACAGGAAAACGATCCTTGGTAAGAATGGCCCAAACAAAATCTCCAACATTAAACTTCATAAAACGACGCTTCTTATCAGCATCATGTTTATACTTGCTAGTAGCGTCCACCAAGCGCTGTTGTGTTGTGCGATGGACATTTTGGAGTTGTGAAATCAAATCTTCAGCCTTGCCATGAACTCTCTTTAAATCAGCAACAGGGGCTAAATCAATTGGAGCTCGGGGATTGTAGCCATAATTGACAAGAAATGGACTAAAGCCAGTGCTGCGATTAACTGAGCGGTTAAAAGCAAATTCTGCTTGATATAATTTCTGATCAACACATAAACAATCCCCTTTTTTTTTAATCTCATCACTGAACTGTCTCCTTGTTAATAGAGTATTAGTTTCCACAGTTATTGATGGCTTGGAAACAATCTCCTTATTGGGAAATAAGACAAGTCTGGTCTTGCCAATCAAAAAGCTATATGTATTCTTCTTTCCATCGTGAATTGCACCCCTGTCATATTGCCACGGCCTCCCCAACAAAATATGGCACGCGTCCATAGTGATAACATCACACCACACTTGATCTTGGTATTTAGTACCAATGGAAAAAGAAACTAAACAGCGTCTTGAAACACTTACGTCATTTTCTTTCTTTAACCATGATAATTTGTAAGGATGAGGATGCTTCTCCGTCTCCAATCCCAACTTTTGAACTGCCTCTTCAACAACTACATTTTCACAGCTACCAGAGTCAATAACAAGTCGACAAACCTTGCCCCTAATTGTGCATGTGGACTGGAAAATATTATTACGAAGCCATGAATCACCATTAGCTGCTCGTGGAGTGAGACAAACCTTTCGAACCACTAATAAAGGACCATTATCACCATGAACATGTTCTTCTTCAAAATCGTCATAATGGCTATAAAACTTGGGGTCTTGTTCAATATTATATTGCTCATCTGTTGGTGTGTCTTCACTGTCAATGAATAATCCCTTCCCGTACCGATCTCCCTTCTTGCAGTCAGCCATTCTATGCCCAGGTTCACCACATTTAAAACAGCATGTTGCAGCTCCACTGGTTCCGCTAACAGCTGTACGGGTAGGTGGAGGGTTTACTGGTGGTTTTCCAGTTGGTGCTTGAGAATTGACACTTCGAGACTGAATTGGGGATGAGGTATTCTGGCGATTACTACCACTACCTTGCATTCCTGGCTTTCTATTCATTTGCTTTTCTAATTGCAAAGCTCGCTGGTGTGCTTCAGAAA